TGTCTAAAAATATTAAGGGGGGGATTTACCATCTAGGCAGTTTCTTGGGGGCCCCAAGTTCCTGGAGGCCCCATTAAACTCTGTTTACTTGTATGGTTAATACAACTATTCCTTGTTTGGGGACATTAATTATGTTTTTGATATAAATGCCATCAGAAGGCTTATTTTATTTTTTTTGGTTTGTTATTTTTTTTTTTTACGGCACCAGTGGCTCGTTTTTTGACAGTAGGCTGAAAGGGAAAGGTGGTATGAGAGAGAAGAGGACCACAAGTCGGATTCGAACCCTGGTCGGTTAAGGACTAAGGCCTCTGTACATGGGTTGTGCGCACTAACCACTGCCCCACCTGCACACCCAAAACACTGTTAATATTAAGAGTCTATTTTGTAGTCATGTTATTTATTTATATATATTTTTATTTTTCTCTTAGTTAATATTGTCCGATTGTAGGATTTTAAACCTTAGATATTATCAGGCCAATGGCCACTCAGTACCTCAGCAGCCACCTGAGCAGTACTATACTGCTAACTGAGTAATTTCTACTTTTACTTAAGTAAAAATCAATGTTATAGTAGTCCTATTGTTGCTTACCTAAAATTTGTGGCTACTCTAGCCACCTCTGGTGTAAAGTTACAGCCTTGGTGTATGTATAGCTGAAGAACTAAACAAACTGCTGAAAACTTCTGAACCCTAAAATATGTTTGACAGCTTAAAAAGAACCTGAATTCCTTTTTCCCAAGTATAAATATGTCACAAACATATCGCTCTGTGCCTTAGATGCGGTGATTCTTGCTGGATAAGTTTTCATAATGCAGAGTCTTTACTCTGCGTTACTGGATTATACATCTGGAAGACTAGCGGAGCTGAAAAATGATGAACTATTTGAATAAGTTAAGTGGATCTGTCTGACGTATTTCTAAGATTCCCCAGAGAGCTTTGTTCTCTGATCAATAAAACCTGTGATTTCTCCTCATTCAGTCTCAGATATTATGTGATTCATGGTTCTTTTTGTTGTATGATTTATAGTTTTTAATGCAAAGCAGGTGTGAGAGACCAAATGGTTCACCGGCATTCAGAGAGCCGGCCGAGGTGTCAGCCATCTCAGAAACACTGGGAGTGAATGAGACTGTGGAAAGGAGGGCAAAATGACTTATTATTATGTACGGCTGAAACATCTTTATAGCAGTGGAAATCTCAGGGGGGCTCTCAAGCTAGAAGTATGGGACTTAATGTTGTTGTTTTTTTCCACTCTAGGTAGGGTTATTGCATAACTTAGAGACTCCAACAAAAATGTTCTGGAATCCATAAGCACCGACGCTTTTCAGAAAATATTTGCTAATCCTTTGGTTAATCGTTTTGGAGGAGTAAACCGCTCAGAATGTTGGATCTAAGACAGTTATTTATGATTGCCAGATGTCTATCACATTCCTGTTCTGGGCTCCGATCCTGCTATCATTGCCGCAGCCGGGCACTAAACCGACATTTCTTTCCATGTTCAAACAATATTAAAATGATTTGATCTTTTCACAAATTTTTAATAGTTAATTCCGTCTCCATGTGAAAATAAGAATAAAATAAATCCTAGTGGACATTTAAACATTGCATTAAAAGCAGATCTGCAATTCAATCTGCTCCATTAGTTTGACAGAACAAACCTGATGGTGCTTCACATTATTAATTAATTAAAATTGCTCGAAATTATATATTTTTCAACTTTCACGTTTACAAAGTATTGAAGAGTAAATAACCTGGAATGCGCTCGACTCACAAACTCTGCTCTTCCAGCTGTGCTTGTGCAGAAATGCGTCTGTGTGCAGCTCAGCTCAGAGTCTTTACGCTCTCAAATGATGGTTCACTCTCAGCATTATGGCTCTTCCTGCTCTCACTACTTAATAAAATATATGTGGCTGATCATTCTTTGCAGAGCTTAACTATTAAGATTTTATTTCTCCCAGCTAACAGGAGTTGATCCTAAACATTCTTTAATTTCTACCAAAAGGAATTCTTAAATTATATCCAAAGCAAATATTTCATTGCCTTCTGTTTTTTTTTTTAAAAAGATCCAGATGTAAAGGTACATAGATCTTTGAATATTTCTCTCATTGTTCTCGTTTCTATCTATTTAAATATGATGTAATTATTTCCTTGTATTGCAATGAAATCATTTTCTGTTTCCTTTATATATTTCAATATTTTAGTTAGCATATTCATTCAATTTATGTCTGGATTGGCATGGCATTACAAGGCAACTATCTCATCAAAACCCTGTGAATTTAAATCTTCTTTGACCCTGAGCAGCAGTAACCGAGGCGTAAATTCTCAGAAATGAAGCCAAAATTGCCAAAGTAGAAAGAAGAATGTTTTTTATTCTTTGCTCTTTTGGAGTAATGCAGATTTTATTGATCTGTGTTTAATGCATATTTCATAGTAGATCAGGAAGTGTTTGCTTTGGGATGGAAACCTTGTATGTCCAAAACCATTCCTTTATTGGATGTTTTGCTAGCTTGTCTGTCTGCTATAATAACCAATATAATGTGTTAAACTAAATCTGAAATTTTCACAGCTTTTGTGGGACACTTCTTTTTTTTATAAATTAGTGCATTAATTCATAAAAAAAGTTTATTAGAATTCTATAAATCAAAGTTTCCTGCCCCACAGCAATGATGATCTGCAGGGCAGTATTCTATACCCAGCTATTGCAGCATCTAGGATAGAGCTGTTAGTCTGGGAAATAATCAGGTTATTATTTGAAATTGTAAACATAAAATTTTTTTGCAACATTAAACTGACTAAAACCTTTTTAAGTTTTAGTCGACTAAAACTGACTCAAACTATTACATATCGTAATGACTAAAATGTGACACAGACTAATAATAGTGTTCGTTCTGAAGACTAAGACTAAACAAAATCTAAGATGGCGGTTAAAAACTACTCTGCTGTTCAGAATTTTTTTTTTTTATGTTTTTTTTTTTTGCTGTTGTTGGCATTCATATAAATATACTGGTGTGATAACGTAGTATATATTTGATTGGTTTTTGGTATATGTCTATTTTGATGTTATAACCCCCTGGAGAAAAATCCACCAGCCGCCACTGGATCTATATCAACTTTAAAGCAGAAAACACTTTGTTTCAAGCTTCCTTTCCTCAATATATGACCTTCCACTTCATCTCTTTAGAGAAATACTGTTAAGAATCCAGTTTGTGTGGGTTGTGTTTTTGTGTTTTCTCCCTCCACCACCAGGTGTCGCCTGGTTCTCGTTGGCCTTCTCACACACCTGCGGATGGTTGCCTCATTAGCGGAGGACTCTTAAGCTGCTGACTGCCACTACCTCTACGCCAGAGTGTTTGCCAGTTTTGGGTACTCTAGCCAAGCTGAGTTTTGCTGAGTCAAACTGAGTTTTTGTCAACCTGAGTTTTAACATTGTTGTTTTTTGTCTCTCGGCAGGAAGTCATCCTACAAACTGGGTGTTTTGGACCTTCTCCCCCTGAAAGGATCGTCTGAGCTTCAAACTGAGCTGAGGATTCAAACTGGAGGTTTGGATCAACTTTTCCCCAAGGGATTGTTTGAGCTACACTCTGAGCAGGGGATTCATCTCCACAAGAGACCGTTCAAGTACCGCAGGGAATCTAAGTGGCAGTCAGCTCCTCCGTTCCTCAAGAAAACACCTCAACCTGGGTAAACCCTGTCCGCCCTCCACGAGCAAGTTAGTTACTGAAACAACCCACACCGACTGGATTCAGAGAAAGACACCTTTTCTGGAAATGTGAGTCCTGTTGCCTTTATTCCCTTTTGCAAATCGAAGCTCAAATTTCCCACTGAGCCTGAACTAACCACAGGAACTTCCCCCTTCACTTTTCAGTCCCGGTTCGCCAGTGTTCAGAGCAGCACTGGACCCTTCTCTACCAGTTCTCAATAAACCTGTCAAACCTTCCCATGGTCTCTCTGTTTGGTTTCCTGCATGTGGGTCAGATTTTTGGATAAAATCATGACAAATACATTTAAGTTTGTTTTTCGTAGAGGCAAAAATGTTGAAAATAAACGTTAAACCTGATGAGGGTAGAGTACATACGTTTTATTTAAACTTACATGATCACCAGGTTGGGGTCTCATCAGGGACACCTGGTCATATCCACGGCGAAACAGAGCCAAGATGGCATCCAGTTTACCCTGAGGAAGCAAGAATAAACGCTTAGTGGCCATTTTCTAATGATAATGATCAAATATCATTATTTCCCAGTAAGGAATGGGATGGTGACATTACACCGCTGTACACGTCTATAAAGGGGGCGGAGCTAGCCAGGAGAAGCTATCCACATCAAGTGTTGGCTGACATATCATGGTCAAAATAACAAAAGCTTTTCCCTTTTGAAAGAACTGCAGGACAAAATAGTTTAAAACATCTTAACTTCCACTGGGTCGCCAGCGCAGCACTACACTTGAAAATAACACTGGTTAAACTTTTACCAACATAGACATTTTATCTTCTTTAGAAAGATTGGATTCTCCACAATTCAGCTTCCAGGTTCATTTTATGGACACCATGAGCACCAAAGCACAATTAATAAAGATACAGCAGCATGTTAAATCAGATTTTTTTAAATAAAGCTTTGTCTTCCTATCTTTGAAGCCTTCCTGAGGCCGTATTATAAATCCAATCTTAGATCAGATTTATATTCCATTTGTTTTTAAGTGTCCACCGATTAAAAACTAATCCAGCATATTCGCAATAAAAACATTCCATGATGAGAAAATCACCACATAAAGCATCACAAGCTTTCCCTCCCAGCCGGCTTCCTTACAGATGATTCCCCTCATATTATGGCTCATAAAGTCCGAATGCTATTGGTTAAGTCCCAATGCAATGTTTGGCTCTCTAATAACTGTAATTGGCTAATTGGTAATTGGCAAAATGGCTCATTTGAATAGTGCAGCCCTGATATATCGCCATGCGGAAACGGCACACAGACACATTAGTGACTGGATCATTGCACACTGTTAGATAATTAGATGGAAAGTTAGAAAAATATTTGCTTCAAAAACATTTTGTGGCAATCAAAATGCTCCAGTGTGATTTTTGGGCTAAAATTGTTGTGTAAAAGCAAAAACCACAATTTGGAATAATTTGGCCCATTTAGAGAGGTTTGGAGACGCTGATGACTCCTGTTATGCCTAGAAGTCTGACATTTTCTGCAGTTGTTGTTGACATGAAGCAGAATAAATGTAAACCAATGACACACACCTATTCTCAAGCATGGCTTCATTACTGCTATTCAAATAAGACCTATTATTTTAGAGAAAAAAACAACAACTAGGAGTTATGTTTTAACTGTTGCAGGTCCGACTGTGTTTTAGTCACATTATTTTTAGAAACTAGAAGGTGTTAGCTTTCAAATGATGTATCACATGTGTAATGTGGGCTTACAGTTCCTTAGTTATTTGCCTTTCTATTTGGGTAAGCAAACATTAAAATTAGGTGGTTTAAATAGTTTAAGATGAATTTTCTTCTTTCATTTATGTGTTTCCCTGTGTACCCTGTTCATTACACTGTAAGCAGTGTGTCGGAGGCTGCATGTGTTTTTACATGAACATTTTACTGAGAATCACAGTGAGAGCCTTCATGAACTTTAGAATGTAAATTTTAAGCTCGGCATTTTCAGGTACAGGGCTGCTCTTGTGAGAAAGGCCAGGATGGAGCTGCCGGTGTTCTGTCAGATGAGCATACCCCATCAGACAAGCATACCGGATGCACAAAAACTCAGATCTGCATTTATCCCTTTAGTTTTGCACGAAAAATAAACTTTAAACTATCTCAACGGGCGTGTATCCCTTTAATCATGTACAAAAAAAACAAAAATTTAAGGTCAGATCGCCATACACTTAAAAAAACACCAAAAAGTTAGTAATTTAATAGATTTTTGTACATGACTAAAGGGATACACGCCTGTTGAGGTAGTTTAATGTGTATTTTTCATACAAAATTAAAAGGATAAATTAAAGTTATAAACAGGTATTGACTGTGGGTATGGTCATCTGACAGAACACCGCTATCCTGTCAGGACAGAATATATTGTCAGATTGGCATACGATTAGTTTTTAACTAACCTAAAAAAATGTTTTTTTTTTTATGATTTTACACATGAAAACAATATCTAACCAAATTTAAATTCCCCCACACACATTTTTACTACTAAAGTAACGTATTTTAAATTCATATTGACTAATATGTTTTCAGCTATAGAGGCTCCTTCTCTTGGCATCCCGGAAACCTCAATCATGTCTGACTGTTTCTACATCCAAGAAATAACAGTGGAGTCAAGTCTGATTTTCTTTTTTAAAAGTTAAAATAAGTTTTGCTGCTCGGTACACTGCTGTTAAAATACAATGCTGGAATATTTCTCTGCTGTTCATGTGCATATTAGATCAATGTATGCCAAGCCTGGAAAAATTCCTGGATCATCTTTCTGGAATGATCTGATCTGATTGGTTCTGTGTTTACCCGGATAGGTGTGTACCACTTCCGGTTCTGAGGCGGCTTCTTGTTCTGAGCCTTCTTAGGTTTGGGCTCGTATGGTTCGTACTCCTGCTCCGGCATCTTCACCACTGCGTTCTTCGGCTTCTCCAGCTTCGCCCCCTCCTCGGTGGAGCCCTTGCCGCCCCATCGCACCTGCAGGCGGACGCAGGAGGAGGTGGTGAACGTTTTGACCTTCACCTGAAACCATCTGGTTGAGCTGATTGAACCGTGAGCTTATCACCTCCATCCTCTTGATTCCACCAACTCCTCTTCCTCCATAATACGAGGCATCCACAGTGGGCCACTTCTTCTTCGGCAGGCCGTCGTCATCATCAGACTCCTGCAGCCGTAATCAGAACAGAAAGAAGTCGTAAGATTACAAAATTAAAGTCCTAATATTACCAAAATAAATCTGTAACATTGCCAAAATAAAGTCATAATATTATCAGAAGAAAGTTGTAATATAATTAAGAAATTTGATTTATTTTCCCTTTCAGCATTCCGTCAATATTATAGATACGTGTGCACGAGTTTGGACTCACAGGCTCAGGAGGAGGAGGGGGAGGCGGCTCCTTGATCACCTGCAGACAGTTTGGAGACAAGAAAAGATCTTCATAACGACGTTCAATCCGCCTGAGTAACGGCGTTTGGGTCTGAGTTTCTTACCACGGTGCAGCACAGAGGCCAGAACCACCACATAAAAAGGAGGGCCAGCAGGAGGAACAACACCAGCAACGTTATCAGGAGTATGGTGCCGTCAAACTGGATGATAGACACACAAGACAGGAGCCGTTATGCTACAGTAGCATCTGTCACACCTTGGCCATTTAGACCAGCGTAGCGACCTACGAAAAATCTGGCAAAAATGCTGGAATACGCTGGTAAACAGGGTCCCGCCGTATGCCGGCATCTGCCATACGTGGGCCATCAGTTCCAGGTCAGTTATCTGATGGTTGACATTTATTCGGTGTTAGTTACTCATAAGTCTAGCTTATTCAGAACCTCTGAGTAACTTCTGCATAACTTATCTAGAACTTCTCACAAAGCATATCAAGGTATCTGACGTGTTCCAGACGAGCGCTGAACGTGTTTCTACCTTCCAGCTACTGTATAATGGCGTATTGGCAGCGTTTTGGTATAAAGGGGGTTCACAGGAGGAAACCATCAGTTCTCCTCCAGACTTCATCCCCATCATAGGGTGAGCCAGAAGGTGATAGTGATGGATCCTCCCTGCGTTCACGCCCACCACCAACAAACTTCCTAGCAGACATGACGCTGAATCTGATGCCACCAAAAACCTTCTTTCTTTCTTTTTCTTTATTCTTTTTTTTGGGGAGCAGGCAGTAAACAGCAGCTATGTTATACGATGGAGTATTAGGGCCAGGCTAGAGAATTATTTTTTCTTCTATTACGAGAATACAATCATAAAATTACGAGAATAAAA